AATTTACAGACCCAGCAAGAGCCTTTCTGAGAGAAATCCCACACTGTAGTACCGTATCAACCTTCCACAGTCATGACCACACAGACAATTGCATTTTTAGGGTTTTTTTCCCCCAAACACCTGCATAAGATGGACTGCTTTGTTCAGAAGCTACAGACGTATCACCATTTTGAATTACTCAGAGAAGATGACTGATTTTATACGCAGCTGGTGATGACTTCATGCTATGAACAGACTGCAAGAACCAGGGACTGAACAGACAGAAGCTTCATTTTCATGCAAATACCCTCAGGAAGCCACATAAAGGAAAGCAATAGCACATCATGTTTTGTTCTGTATTGCTTACAAAGAAGTCTCTACAGGGAATGCTTAAGACTAGGGAGAAGATCGGAGTCTTCCTCTGTTGCTCCCAGGAGTCTAGATTATGGGGAAAGGGGAAAGGGGAAAGGGGAAAGGGGAAAGGGGAAAGGCTTGATTCATCAAGAAGTTAAATTCCCTGCTAGCATTTCTAATAGATGGTTTTTTACATTCAGGAAAAAAAAATAATGCAAACACTCCAAATACACAGCAGTTTCTAGAGAGCAACGGTCGGGTACTTCACTCGCAGATGTACTCCCTGAGAGTAGTTTTTCTTTCCTCTCAGTTTGGGTGGGATTGGGATTTGATGTTTACAAACAGCAATGCAACAGGCATCCCCTGGAATGCTTTCCTAAACCCACTATGTGGGACACACTCCCCCTTCTGTTTACACAAATGTAGCTCCAGAGAAGATAGTCTCAAAGACATTCCTACTCACCATAGTAGGTGCTACACAATCACTTCAAGACAGTAGCGCGTACCCCACGGTACGTCCAACAGGTTCAAACACTGAAATCAGCAAATGTTTAAACACTGGCTTCTCAAACACGGCTTATTATATATGCTCAGTACAACAACAGTACTTCAAAGAAGGCAAACATTACTCAGAAGGACCCTACACAACCATAGCTGTAAAATTAACAGATTTTTGAGGGACAATTTTTGCTGTAGAAGTCAAGGAAAACCTAGTATGAAAGACGTAATGGACACAACATTTTCTTCCATGTAAGGCTGTACAAGGCTAAAGACCTCCAGCTTCATTGATCACAGCTCAACTCAACATGGCTAGGAGAGACTAGTGCTTCAGCTTGTAAGTCCTTTGTCTCTCAAGAACATGCAGTCTCTTCACGACCACGTGCTTCCCCAGTCCAACAATTTATCTATTAGGCTTCTTCTGAGACTTGAAAGCAAAATAAAATCCCTGGGCTTAAGCAAAACTGTAGGAAAGTACTGGAAAATTGGTGAGGGGGACTGTAAATACGCTCAAGTGACTCGCACGTGGGGTGCTGGAGAACACACCTCTCACACTCATTGTTGCTCAGTTTTGTGTGCTCAACAAGTAGAACATCTGCACTCAGATAACACAGGCTGGGATGGACTCAGGGGCACCTTATCCAACACACCCAAGATTCCTGCCCTGCTGGTGGAGAGATCAAAGCCCAGCAGAAAACTCTGCCTGAATCCTTGAAATACAGACCCAAACAGCAAGTGGGAGCTCCCTCACTCCCTCGCTAACGAGGACTCTCGTGCTAATAAGGACTCTTGTTCCACGGTGCCTGTGTCCCCTGCTTGCCTGCCTCTGCCCAGGGGCTGCTTCAGAGGTTCCCTGATCCATGGGGTATTGAGATTAAATTGGTTCTTTGCCCTTAATCCATGGTTTTGTGGTTGTTCCTGCGTCCTGCCTGCATCAGCTCACATTAAAGGCACCATCAGCAAGTTTGGGGATGACACCAAGCTGTGTGGTGTTGTCGATACACCAGAGGGATGGGATGTCATCCAAAAGGACCTGGCCAGGCTGGAGAGGTGGGCCCAGGTGAACCTCCTGAGGTTCAACAAGAGCAAATGCAAGGTTCTGCACCTGGGCCAGAACAATCCTCACCATCAGTACAGACTGGGGGGTGAGGTATTGGAAAGCAGCCCTGAGGAAAGGGACTTGGGGGTGCTGGTGGATGAGAAGCTGGACATGAGCAGGCAGTGGGCAACAGGAAGGCTGGGGAGAGCCTGCTTAGAAAGGCTGCAGTGACAGGACGAGGGGCAATGGCTTCAAGCTGGAGGGGAACAGATTTAGACTGGAGATGAGGAGAGAGTTCTTCACTGTGAGGGTGGTGGAGCACTGGAACAGGTTGCCCAGGGAGGTGGTTGAGGCCCCTTCCCTGGAGATATTCAAGGAGAGGCTCGACGAGGCCCTGGGCAACCTGGTCTAGTTGGGGGTGTCCCTGCTGACTGCGGGGGAGTCAGACTAGATGGCCTTTGGAGGTCCCTTCCGGCCTGGGCAATTCTATGATTCTATAAGCCAAGGAGAAACTGAGAAGAATAATGCAGCTCACAAGCACTATGAGTTCATGTCTTCAGCTCTCCAAGCTGGTATATCATAAGACACAAGTATTTAGAATTAAATCCTAAAAGATCTTTAGTATCCTTTTCATCCATTCCAGGAACCTGATCTTGCATGTGAAGAATTCAGGGGAGAGTCCAGAGCAGAACAGCTTCTCAAGCTGGCCTGCGGCAGATCTGAGATCTCTCAAGACTCAACTCACTGAACAGCCTGCCCTGCTTTCTGTACTGCACACAAGTACCACAGTCCTGTTGTTCAAGCAGTAACAAGCATTTGAGGCTGAAAAAGCCGTTCACAGCACTCAGCGTGCCTAAGGATGCAATGCCCTCGGGCAGTCACCAGATGTCACCGCATCTCCGGAGACCCGGAGGGAAACTCTCAGCCGGACAAATGACAGAAACGGAAAAGAGAGAATTTCTATCGTACGCGCACAGCTTCAGGTCCGAAGTAAGACCAGCAAAAGCAACTCAGTGACCATGATGACTTCCCATCAAACAACTTAATGCACGCATGTTTAGGAGTTAAAGGGACTGGCTATCTAGGGCAGCGCCTTCCAACCTTTCTATCTCAGCCACGCAGCTGCTGATCTCTCTTATTTCCCACGTCCTACCTGCTCCTCAACCACCCCATACAGGAACACAACCTCTGGAACTGATCACCAGCCCCACTTCCCAGGACTTCCACGGCTCTTAAGCAACCCGGGTTTGCTCACCACAGTTCGAGGCTGGGTGGAACTGAAACTCTTCGTCATCGCGCTCCTGTACGTACACAACAACCTCGGTGCCAGATGTTAACGCATCTTCTAAATTTTAATCTCAGATTAAAAGTTCCTTAATTCTTTTGTGGATTTGGGTTCCAGCATTTACATTCCAAGCTGTCGCCGGCGAGATCCTGGTTCTGCCTTCTGCACATGGCGGGACTCGGGCAAAGCATGTTCTTCCTACAGGCAATGACCCAGCCTGCTGCTGCCACGAATGCTGCACCAACATCAGCAATCTTACAGTCCCTTCTAAAACGGTAGTGAAAGCATCAGGAATAAATCAAATACAGATTTCTACATAAGCCTCTATATGGTACAAGAAAAAAAAAAAAAAAAAGGGTATAACTAACACACACAGACTCTCTTTTCTTGGTCAAGAGGGACAGCAGTACCAGCCCCAAAAATACTCATATTTGCTTTTCTCCTATTTAGTGGCCTCCCCATCTTTCTGTCCCTTCTACTGGAAACAGTAGTTACTACCGCACACATTTAGACCCCTATCCAGCAGTGCCCAATGAAATGCCAAATATGTGGCCTGTTGGGCTATCACTGCCCAATGAAATGCCAAATATGTGGCCTGTTGGGCTATCTATCATTGTGTCCACAATTACTAGCCACATTCAGGGTCCTCATGCAGTAGACACACACATGTGCCAAAAAGAAGAGTTCCTCTCCAAAAAGTGATATTGTGATGTTATGTTGCCTCTAGGGCAAAGCAGCTCCCATTATCTTCCCGTCAGCCCCACGTGAATCAGTGACAGTCAGACCAGCAGTGCCTACACCTTCCGCTGTACGAGACCACATCATTGCTTCCAGCAGCAGGGAGGGCTAAACATCCCAGCTCCTTCCTCTCTGTCACAGCAGGCCTACAAGGCAACAGCAGCCAACATACGCACGCACAGCAGGCCACAAATCTGCAAAAAAAACCATTGGGTCGCTGAGTGTCCTCTACACAGCACGTTCAGACAAGTCTGCTGACCCACACCACTCCGGGGAGAGCAGGCTGCTTTTACCAAATCAATTCGTGCAGGCTGCTCCCAGACAACTTCCTTCCTAAGGGACTTTCAGATACTAAGGACGCTGCGGTCTCCAGAAAAAGAGGTAGCTAGAAGCCAGGCCACACCAAACACACAAACTGGTTTTGGTAAACTGTAGGCTTGACAACTCTTCCCTTCCCCTTGAACAGATCAGGAGGAACAAAGAATGGGTGCAGGGGGAAAAAAGGAAAAAAAAAATGGGAAGAAACAAAGAAAGGGAGAGAGAGAGAGAGACGCTGGGAATTTAGGAGGTCCTCTGATATAAAGGGATGTTGTCAACATAGATCTTAAGGACACAAGCAAGCCTCGGTCCACCTCAAGAAGAAAATCCCCTCTATGTGGGAAACTGCAACAAGAAATCTTGATTTCAAGCAACTGAATCCATAACACAGGTAGCTATGGCTCCAAGGGAGTAATGCACAAATGTTTCTAAGAACCTAGCGCAAAACTGGAGACTGTGGTCCATCATATATTAGAATGCAACAGGGCATCTCTCAGCAACCAGCTGCACAGGGCAAGCTTGGAGCTAGGCTGCCTCCACAGTAGATGGTTCCCCTGCAGAGAACATTGCTAGCACACCTCTAAAGCAGCCCACCCACTGTTTAGTAGGCTGGGAATAATTTTGACAGAATAAAAGAAAAGAAGGTTTAAAATAAGAGGAGCAGTGAAAAATATGGACAGAAATAGGAACATCATTAGGAACCTCATGGTACACAAAGCACACACTCATTAAGTACAAAAAAAAAAATAATAAAGAGGCCTTTAAAAACAGAGGAAGAACCATTACTACCTTTCAAAAGGGGCTGGAAAGTTGGAATTTCCTGCAGTTTTATGACATCTGGATCGTTGCTGACATTCCGGGAGGACTGTGTTCCTGGGGCCACCACCACGATGTCATCCATTTTTGCTCGTTGCTTGGCCGGCGACGGAGATGCTGGAAGGGTACAGAGGGAAGGGAAACAAATTAATTTTGAGAAGATTCCACCACAACTCCACCCCGAGCGGCTGTTGCTGTGTTTAACACAGCACAGGCACGTTTTCTGCGGCGTTACCCAGACCACCGAAGGGCACTACGCTCCCTTCACACCCTCTCCCCGAGAACGCATCACGTTCAGCAAAACCTTGTCAAAAATGAGGTTCTGCAGCACCTGCACCGCCGACACCCCCTCCCTGCCCTCCCTCAGGCCCGCTCCTCCCGGGGGGCGGCAGACGGGCCCTCCCCGCGGCTCCGGGCTGTGCCCACCTGCCCGCCCGGCCGGGTGCCCCCCTCGCCTCCCCGAGGCAGCCGGTACCCGCTGCCTGGCAAGGAAAAACCGTTCCCTTCTCCTTCTCCGCCGCCTCCGCCCCTCGCCTCCTCCCCTACCGCCGCGCCAGGCCCCCGCAAGCGGGGCGCGGCGCCGCCACGGAGCCGCCTCGCCCCCACCGAGGGACGGGGAACCCGCCGCCGGGGCCCGGGCCCACCCTCCCCTCCCGCGGGCACCCACCTGAGGCGCTGGGCTCGCCCGGGCGGCTGCCGGCCTCCGCGCTCTGCTCTGCTCCCATGGCGATGGAGGAGGCCGGTGGCACCTCCGCCGCCGCCACCA